ATGCTCCTCACAAATAGGGAAATGCTAAATAATCGAAAAACCTTATTTGAATAAGTGAGTTTTACACCATTTAATGTAAGGAGAATACACACAACCGGTGGGCGTAGCTCAACTGGTAGCGAGGGAGTGCCACAAGGGTTAGGTCTCAGGTTTGAATCCCGGCAACTGCGATGAAGCGTTACTATGCTGAAAAATGCATAGGGCTTCTGCAAGTACCGGGGACAGAGCCTCACTCTCTATCTGTCAGATTGTGATTATAGTCCAATTTACATCCTCCCATCGTGCCGTCCGGTCGGTGTTGGGGGGCCCTCAGGGATGGGGTGTCATCCTTTTTTTTTGGAGAATACACACACACTGTCCGGTTCTGATGAGGTTCTAAGGAGATTGTTCCTTCCCTGAAAAATTAAAGGAGGATAAACATTATACTCCGTAATTCTCAATTTTTGTTTCCTATTGCACAATTTTTAATTTTAACGCACCAAACTCATTCTCATTATTTTTCTCATGAGGTCGTGGTACATGTCATTTGTTCCAAAATATATACACCCTCCGTCTCAAAATTAACCTATCATTCACTATTCACATGGTCAACTTAAATTACCCTTAATCTTGTGCTTTATATATCAAAGTTTTATCAAAGTTACATTTTATTTACAAAATTTGTAGCAATTTTAATGTAGTTTGTGAATATATAAATTTTATCTACTAGAAATAATATGAGTGAGAAAGGGATCAAGTTGTTTTATCGTCAATCAAACATCGTAATCCGAAATGAGTTAAATTCATTAAAGTAGATATCTCTCTCAGTTTGATTTTTTTATATCTACTAAACACATTAGTCATAAATTAAGACAGATATACCCTTATACTATCGTATACAAATAGTTTATGCCTCGAGGGTATACATAGAGGGGATACTTGTTTTTCATACATAGTTGAATGGTCCGTTTGTTCTAATTTTATCACTTGTGTTTGATTGTCTCTATATAATGCAAAGGTATATTTTCTCACAGAAGTGTAGTTTAAGTGGACATACATTCAAGGATACTTTTTTTCATACATAGCGCTATGTATGACCGAGAATCTATTGAAATTATTGAATACTTATTGAGAGGTTTGAAAAAACGTGCAAGAATTAAAACATTTTCAAATATAATAAAACACCTATTTTAGAAATATGACTACAAGATGCTTTCTTAAACAAAGAAACTTGAGCAATTTTATAATATATACGTAGTATGACAGAAAAATAAAGTGAATTTCTTATAAAGAATTTCCGTGTTTTTCATAATAAAAGTAAGTACTGTCATTTTAGAACTATATTTTGTCAATGTTATAGTATTGATATTATCATATTAATGCCTTATAATAATGTTATAACATGATTTCAAGATGTCATTGGTTCACTTTTGTCTAGGAGGGAATATAGCGTTCATGTATAGGGAAGGGAACGTACCTGGTATTCGTCCTCCTATGTTGAAAATTTTGATATTGAAATTAGAAGTTGAAAATAAAATTGAAACAATAGACGAACCAACAACCACGTTTCCACTTTAAAAAACCAAAGCTTACCGAACTGACTATTTTCCAAATCTCATTTACTTACGTATAGGATGACGTTTATAGAACGTGTTCTCTTTTATACTATCGTATATGTTAATTACAATTAGGTGGTCATATATTCTATAGTTCTTTAGCTTGATTCCTAAACATTACAATTAAGACAGACGACCTAATATCATTGCACGACTTCCTCATCAAAGCTAGCTAATTATTACACCATTTTCCCCAACACATACTGTTTTAACGTACATGATGATTCCTAATTACGTACGCTAACTTTGAAATTGTTGTGTCTAATTAGAACCTCACGGTTTAATTGAAAAGTTTTGGTACATTTGTTCTTTGAAATTATATGCTCCGTACCCACCACTTGATTTTTTATGTTAATGCGAATATTTAAAATTCAATAATCCATTAGTTTTTTAGGAGTATTGAACCCCTAGATGGAACACTCTTGAGCAAGTGTGCAGCTTAAATGTATTATATATGTCATTGTGCAAAATAAAATATTGAGCAGAGAATGACTTGTAACTTCTTAAATACAGGAAAAGTAGACGGGAATGTTTCAAGCTATAGCTGGTGTTTTTTTTAATAATTTCAGATATCAACTGTTTTTTAATGATAAAAGATATCAACGGTTTTTAAATAATTATTTCCGGAGTATGATTTTTCTACAAACTACCCCTAGCTTATTTTGACTTGGTGTAGCCGGTTAATCTATTACTAGTACTACATATTATTAGACTTTAATTTATCCACTTTCCATCATTATTGTTGTAGCCACTTGCCAACTTTTACCTATTTGCCTGTCATCTAATTAAATATCGCCTCTAACTTGTTCCAATCTAATGTGGGCTATTACTTCAACTATTACGAGTCCATTTATGTGCGGGCTTGCCATTTAACGATTAGCGGATAATAGATTGTGTTAGGGATGGACCCGATCAAGTTTGGAACGTGACCCGCGTTATGAAACGAGAAGGTGCTTAATTGCAGGGTGGGCCTGATCAAGTTTGGACGCGATTAGGGATGGCCTCGGGCCGGTTCGGGCCCGGTTCGGGCCTAGGCCCGGCCGGGCCTCGGTTCAGAAAAATGAGGCCCGAGCTGGAACCGGTGGTGGGCGGTTCCGGGTCCGGTTCCGGGCCAGACCGGGCCGGGCCACCCGAATTATTAATTTTTTTTCTTCTTCTCTTATTTAACCCCCTACCCCTCCCCCTCCACCCCAAACCACCTCAAATGGCCCAAAATACCTAATCCAACCCAAAACTTTAAAAAATTTCAAAAAAAAAATATTAAATTCCGGCCCGAACCAGGCCCGAACCGGCCGGGCCGGTTCACCAAAACATAGGCCCGAGCCCGAACCGCCCAAAGGCCAGGCCGGTTCGACCCGAACCGCTGGGCCCACCGGTTCCCGGGCCGGGCCGGGCTCAACAGTAACCGGGCCGGGCCGATTCGGGTCGGGCCGCCCGGCCCGAGTCCATCATCCCTAGATGCGATATGAACCGAGAAGGTGCTTAATTGCATTGGGGTGGACCTGATCAAGTTTGAGACATTAAAGGTGCAATTCCGAATCCTAGCCGTGTAGAGTTCAAGTTTTCAAATTAAACCGAATTCAGTCGGGTTCCAAAATTTGTTATGATCCAAACAATGAAACAAAATTGGTTCTGATCCGAGACAAGGAAACAAGTAGTTCCAAAGCTAGGACTAGATCATGCCCTAGTTACACTAGTGGATTTGGTTTCATGGTCTCTCCTTCCCGTTTTCATTAAGAGCTAAACAGGTAATCTTTTGAGCATCTCATTGGACCGTTTTGAGAGTAACTTCACTTATTGATCGAACACATACTTAGTGTTTATCTTAGCTTTTATTCGAACTTATTTACGATTTATTAAATTTTTTAAATTTCAATGATATTGCTAAATAATACTCCCTCCGTCCCGCTATTAACTTCCTACTTTCCTTTTTGGGCCGTCCCAAAATAATCTTCTCATTTTCCTAAATGGAAAGTTATCCTACATCAAAACAGTGTCAAACAGTGCAAAACAGTGCCAAACAGTGTCTAAACAGTGCCAAACAGTGTCTAAACAGTGCCAAACAGTGTCTAAACAGTAAAGTCAAATTTATTTCCTAAATATGTGTGTAGGTCAAAGTAGGAACTTAATAGAGGGACGGAGGGAGTAATTTGTAACTGTAAATCAAAGGCTTCCAACTTCTGCTAAACATAGCCCCTAGGGCTATTGTTAAGTAATAATGAGAAATGAATATTCTCCATTCTTAGCATTTCAATAGCAAATAGTTTATCATTAAATGCCAATAGTCCATCACCAATAAAGATTGTGGTTCACATTTTCCTAACATAAATTACTCTCTTACTAGTTGCTCTTTCTGTAAAGGTTAGAAAACTTATCATTGGGGATTAGAATTAGTTGCAGGGCCAGTGACTAGATAATTTAAGAAAAGTGTCTCTCTTAAAGGAACAACTATCTGCAAATATAAACTAAGTCAAGTCACTGAGATAGAAGATAACATGTCACTTTTAGTAAGACCTGGGTCACAATTATGAATGGACTGAGACATGCCGGCCTGCCCTGGTACTGCCCGACCCGGCCCAATCGGGCGGTACCGGGACTTTGGGTCCGAACCAGCTGTTTATGGGGAGCGGGCTACGGAGTACGGGCCCTGATTTTAGTGGACCGGGCCCAGCCCGGACCATTTTTTAATGTATGACATTGGGTCGCTGCTAGGTGGGTTGTACTGGGTGTTTTGAAAGGGTTTGGGGGTGGCAGGGTAGGAATAAATTCTAAAAGACTAATTTAAAAAATAAAAAATTGACCTGACCCAGCCCGGGCCCAATTCAAACTCAGACCGGTACCAGGCCTTCATCCCAAAGCCCAAGTCCCGCCCAATCCCGGCCCGGAGCCCATCCCGACCCAGGCCCGGTCCATGCCTAGTCACAACCAGGGGAGAATTGGTCACTAGAGCAAAGGCCAACTGTAACATACAAGCAGCAAGCTTTGGTAGATCCATGATGGGCTCACAGGCGCCAGCAGGCACAACAAAGGTTACCAAACTGTGGTATTAGAGCAAAGATGGGCTCAAGTGCAAAGGTTATTGGCAAGGCACGACGCTGGGTTTTGGATAATGTTTTCATATGTAACTTGTCATTTAATGTTGTAATGCATAAAATGTATGCGATTTTATTAAGTTTAGTTTGAAGAGAAAATGAATATAATTTTGTTCCAACTTGCAACTGATTTAATTGCATTTAATTTGATTTCAAAATAAAAATTAAAAGATCATCATTGTGGCCCTAACGTTTGAAATAGTACCCCATGGGCCCATTACATTGCAGCCCTAAACGGCTAATCCATTAACAGTAACATTTTAATAACAATAGTTACTTGAATATATCATCAACTAATCAGAACCAGTGAGGCACCACACCAATGACTTGAACTCTTGAAGTGAGATAAACATTTGAATTCGTAGTTTCGTACTAGAGCACTAAAACCTCAAAAAAAAACATGTACTCTGTTTTAATATGGTTGTAAATAGATAAATTCTTTTCTTGATGTATAAACGTATAAAGTTCACATCATTAAAAATTAAATTATTGGAACCAATCTTTATCATAATAAATCTGATTTATACATCATGCCTGAGCCGGATCATGTCCACCCCTAGTCCCTACTCATATTAAATCGACACAAAACTAACATTAATCAAACTGAACACAAACAACGCAGTTATCAGACGTAGATTATTAACAATTAAACAAATGACATATAAAATAAGAAAGCCATATTTGCTTTCAAGTAATGCCAATCCCCCCCAGCAACCCTGCCTTCACAGGTTTGGCATATCCAAAAAACCTCCAGCTCATAGATAACCATAAGTCAAGCACTAAGGCATTGACTGGATTCATAAAACTAGATTCAAATATACACAGTATTTGCTACAAAATTGAAAGATGACTCTTACTATATGCACCTGGACGTAATCAGCTGAGTTTTTCACGTTGAGCGCCTGCAGTATGTGATTCTTCAATGTGCCTTGTAAGCAATGATATACTATGATGTGATGCACTTGAAGCAGCATAATATGAGGTCACAGTGAGCTGTGTAAATTTTGGAAGCGCATGACCTGTAAACAAGATGTAAAGACACTGTCATTATTATGCATTAATATCTCTCTTCATTGCCAAATAGAAAGTTCTTTGGACATATACAGAGGTTACTGAAAAAGTTAAATCAATCCCCATGCCTGCATTTAGGAAACAGATAAAAAAATGATACACTGGTTATAAAAAATTGAAACAAAGAGTTGATCAATAGTGATATCAAATACGTTGTATATCTTTCAGAGCATTTAATTGATTATTAGTTATATAGTACTGTTTTGCTTTTCAATGACCACTTAACACAAGCACCAACTAAGAATGCTTTGTTGAAGAAGCATTTAACCAAAAACATGCTTCAATGCATAATTAGAACCTTAAAAGTCTGATCAATTACCAAACTTCTGCAAGAAAATAAGTGGGACTGTGGGAGTAGCAATTGATCAAGTCCTACTGGTATAAATAGTAACATTTTAGCAGTCAGCGCATTATGGTTTAATTTCTTTGTAGCACGGTTAGGATAGTACATGTTACTCTAATTAACTTTCCGAGAACGAAATATTTTCTTAAACCCCACACCAGTTTGCGAAAATATCTTACATCAGAATCGTCATGCGAAGGGAGATGCATGCAAATTTACTTGTGCTCCTAGATAGAATGAACTCAAGATAATATAAAAAGAGAGTATTGACGACTAATGCCACCATAGAGCCCTCAAGAGAGACTTAAATCTTAACATAAATATAATATACAAGTAGAATAAAGAAAGTATACCAAGAAAGTAGAACAAAAGACACTGGAGTTTGAAAATCTAAAATTAGGATGAAGCATACCACCAAATGCTGCACTAGCCGCAGAAAACATCAGAAGTGGAGGAACCTGCATAGGCAAATACATAAGAAAGTAGAACAAAAGAGACACCACTGTAAGTCTGTAACATTCAGGTTTTTGTAACTTAATCAAATGGAAATGTAATACTTCCTCCATCCCACTAAGATTAGAAAATGAGTAAGTGGCAAGATTATTAAACAAATTCAATAGTGTGATTGATATTGAACTTGTAAAGTATAAATAAAGTAAGAATTAATTAGAACTACCTAAATATTACCAAATATGATTTGGGACAAACTTGAAGTGGATCCTTTGGGGACGGGGTGACACATTGACATCCTTTTTTAGGGGAGCCTTCGTGGATGGGGTGTCATCCTTTTTTAAGGGGGAGCCCCGGCACCCGTGATGGTGTCGCTATGTGACCAACGGTCACGAGATCAAAACATCAGAGCAGCCTCTTGTCAAAATGTGTGTGGGGGGGGGGGCTTAACCCTATACTCCATTGTTATGAGGCCCTTACTCATACCCTCACCTTGAGGGCCACCAGGATGACCAGGCTGCCTTTTTTCAATATTGTATTGGTCAAACTTAGTGGAAAGATGGAGAGAGATAGTGGGATGAAAGGATTATAAATATACACTAAAAATATATTTGATTACATTAAATCCCATTACAGTTGATCAAATACTACCTAAGTTAAACATATAAAATATAACTCAAATATATACCAACATGACAACATTACGGCAATAGCAAAGTATAAAAACAGCATTATGAATACCCCAATGATAAAAGGAAGCCACTTTGGTCCCTTGACACGCCTTTGAACAAAGGGGATACCTGAAAGATAATTTTTCTGTTAAAGATTAATAAGAACATCAACCAATGGAAACAAATGAGAAGACAGGAAAGCAACCAATGACAGTAGTCATACCTGTGTTCAACCCATAGACTGTGCTAAGCATTCCACCCATTACCGTGCCAGCCTATAGAAAGGATATATGACATATGAGAGATGAGGGTGAAAATTAAAGATATTCTTGTAAAGGAAAAAGTTGGAAATAAAGATTTAAGATGAACAAAATGTCAATTTGATTAACATTTTCTGGAACCTCATGGAGGATAACTCCATAAGGGTGACCAGAGTCTAGGATTGTCATATTTAAAATTTAATAAAATTGAATTTAAAATATATAGTCATATACTCCCTCCGGTTCTTAATTAAGTTCCTAGTTTGACTTCACAATATTAAGAAATAAATTTGACTTTACTGTGGAGTGCACTGTATGAACACTGTTTGGCACTTTTTGAACACTGTTTGGCACTGTTTGACACTGTTTTGGTGTAAATCATTTGCCAAATAAGGAAAGGTTTGAAGTAGGAACTTTAATATGGACCATCCCAAAAAGGAAAGTAGGAACTTAATTACGGGACGGAGGGAGTATATCACAATTGAGATGGGCATGATAGTCAAGCTCATCAAATTGAGATTCAAATCATGAATCGCAAGGCCTCACTTTCAAATCATGGATCTATAGTGTTACGAATTGTGAGATACAAAATCAAATAAAAGCTTAATAAACTTAATATATGTAAATATATTAATTCATCATAATTTAGTAAACTTAGTGCCTTAGTGCCTCTCGATTCATGTTAGCCAAAATCTTTTGGGAATAAGGCTTGAATGTTGTTATTGTTGTTGTTGTTGTTGTTGTGCCTGTGTGACTATGAGCCGCTTTTCTTTTTAGGGTACACTTTCTCACATAGTCACACCGTTGACAGGGTGAAAGAGATTCTTTCTTTTCATTTTCATTATTTTTTTCTCAACTTCAGAAGAGAGAAGACGTGCAAAGAACATGTGAGAGAACTAGAGGGGGGGGGGGGTGACATGAAAAGCATAAATAAATATGATCTGAAGCCTGGTATGGGAAGCGATGGTCGACGATACTTCTTCTGCCGCACGATTCATTGGTGTTGAGAGATTGGAGCTTGTGCACAACCCATTCTAGATGGATATTTCTGAAATCGGTCATGTGGCCAACCTTATTTTAGCTGAAAAAGCTCACTTGATCAACCTTAGTTGAACTTTAAGAAGTAATGTCACTGTCATGTAAGCTATCAAAGTGTAGATGAAGTCATCCAGTTCCCATTCACTTTTTCCCCACACAACAATCTCTCCTACTTTCTTATTTAGTCAGTGATATGTATCGATCCTAACAGTAAAAACAGTAGAGTATACAATCAAGAAATTCTGAGAAATCCTCAAATATTCTTAGGTTATTACAAAGCAACGGAAGAAACGTAATAGAAGAAGTATAGAGACAAGTTCGAGAAGGAACTCAATTTCTGCCTGCTTTCTTCTACACCCCAACTCATATTTATCATGTTCCTTATGGGCCAGCCCACTGCTATTTAGTTACATTTAGTTACAGGGCCTAAGCCCCTTTTATTATACACTATTAAAAGAATATATTATTCTTATCACTAACATTATCTCGGTCCCTATCAGTCAGAAGTAGTTTACTAGTAGTCTAGTAGAATTAGCAAGGTAAATGCTTTCGATCTCAGAAGTATTTTCAGATAGATGCTTTCAGGAAGAAGTCTTCTTTATTCATAATGAAACTCAATTACTAAAAGACTTTCTTATCTCAGCTCAATGATGACTGATCATATATATTAAACTAATATGAATTTAAAATTAGCGACTACGCAAACTAGAGCTCTTAGAGCTTCCCTTATCCTAGCTCCTTTCAAACACCCAGTGGAATTTACTCTGCTTTATGTCATCGAGATGATAAAACATAGCAATGATTATGGTTTAGAAAATAAATTATTGAAAAAACATGACAGTGCATAAGATAATCTCATTAGCTGATTATAAGATGCAAAGAGTATTTTCAGGGCGCATTTGGTAGATTGCACATTAAAACTTTGCACGTAAAAAGGTTGCATGCAAAATTTAGGGAAGCAATCGCTTGACATGTAAAATAAAACTACAATGTTTGTTTAGGAGTGTAATTTATTTTCAAATTACACACAAATTCATTGCATTGCTTTATAAGTGGCATTCAATGTATTTTATCACTCTCCCTCACCTATAATAATTTACATGGTATGATGAGAAATCCTTAAAAAAGTGTCCTCAAGTATATATCAAATAATCAAAACAAACAGTAAACTCCTTACATCCTTGTATTTCGCATACAAAATAATTACTTTGCATCTTATTAAACAGCTTCTAAAAAAAGGTCAACATCACAAGTTCTATTTTTCTTTATTGAACGAGAATATTAAATAAATGCCAGCATGCGGAAGAAACTCATTCGAATCCAATTAAGGGGACGGCCAAGTACTCAGTGCTCTAAAAAAGATGGCTCCTGAAGCAATTTCTAGAGATACAAAAGAAATCCAAAAATCTCACAAAAATTAGGGTTCGCTTTTTCAACACAAAACACCTGGACATAAAAAAGAGCATCCAAACAGCTAAAGAAGAGGAATAAAACCGCATACCACCGCAGTAAAGTCATGCAAAACCGGTGTGATTGTCCATTCTGACTCGTCCTGTTCCCCGTATCCATCATACAATAATTAGAAAAACTAAGAATCACAGCTCAATTTCAATGAAACAATTCTCAGATGAAGAAGAAGAAAAGTGAGCGAACGTACAGAAGTCGGGTTTAAGAGAGACAAGCAGCGAGGGCAGCGAGCAGAACCCAGTCCAGGCTTGATAGTCGGATCATGATGCAGATTACCTGTTCTCAACCTCTCTTCATAAACCTCCCGAGTCCCCATAGCCACCAAAGTCTCAAGCTCTCCGTTGTCTCTCTCTGAGGAGTGTGAGGACAGAGACGATAAATGATAGTACTCCGTAAATCCCAGAAGCAAAAATTGGGCCAAGGTTTGGGCCCGAAAAATAAAAATACACGAATTGGAATTGAATGGCCCACTAGCTAGCTATAATAATAACAAGTCCAGACCTATCGTAAAGCATTGTGCGGCGTCTTCTGTCTACTAGGGTTTGGCATCTCACTTCTCGCAAACCCCTACGGAGCAGCTCGTCGGAGGCGGAAGAAGAGGAAGATGCCGGCTGGTCACGGAATAAGGGCGAGGACACGGGACCTTTTCCAACGTGGTTTCAGGAAGCGCGGCCCCATCGCGCTCTCCACACATCTCCGGGTCCTCCGCGTCGGCGACTATGTCGACATCAAGGTCAACGGATCTGTGCACAAGGGAATGCCTCACAAGTTCTACCATGGCCGCACCGGTCGCGTCTGGAACGTCACCAAGCGCGCCGTTGGTGTCGAAGTGAACAAGCAGGTATATTCCATAGCTTATACGGACTAGGTTATTATATGTTGTTCAATTTGGATGTGTTGTGAATCGAAGCTCCTGCTCTTTTCATTTTCCAGATGAAATCGGAATTATAATTTATGTGCAGATTTTTTATTCGTAGTTTTTTATTTTAAATTTTTTGAAACAACTCAATTTATTCTCGTCTAAAAAATAGGGGACACGCAACAACTACGAAAATTTAATTGCGGCATCATGTTAATGTGGGTTTACAGCGTTATTTCTTATTAATGTAATTAGAAAAAAAGAATAATTTAATATTACGTAAATATGTAAGTAGTACTAGTACTTGCATGTTTTAGAAACATCAACACATCAACACATGTTTTAGATACTGGAATCAGCTCTTCATAGTACTAGTACTTGCATGTTTTAGAAACATCAACACATGTTTTAGATACTCAATCAGCTCTTCATTGTTTGAATCTCGAATTGATATCTGTATTGAACAGGTTTATAAAATTTTTGTGACTTGTCTATATTCTTGCCAACATTGTTTTTATCCTTGTCATGTTGTAATGGCATTCCTTTTTGTGATGTGAATGGTGACTGGTTCCTTGTGAATGAAATAAGTGTAACAGTGTTCGCTGATTAAGTAAACAATTGAAAAAATTGTTCCTCAGTCCTGAATAAAATGTGACATTTATGCTGGTTTTTTATTTTAGAGTTGCATTGAGTATGGCAAAAGTTCAGAGAAATGGAATAAAATCTCATTTCTAAGAACTACTAGTTTTATGGTTAAGGTTTGGAAGAAATCCTATTTTGAAAAGTTCAGTAACTGGTAAGCTAAATAACCCAAATAGAGCGCGAATTAATAATTGCAATTTTCATATTTAAAAACAAAAATAGAAGTGCTATTGAGCTGCAAAAAATAGTGTATTAGTGAAGTTGACAGTGAGAATAGTAAACCTGAACTTTATGTTGGGATGAAGAACTATATATTAATCATAGGTATATAATTTACAATAATTTTGATGAGCACGTAGCATGCTCACTAATGACCATTTAATTCCACATGGAAGTGATTGATTGGTTCTACATACTAACTACTCTAAATAAGTACTTCAATATATGTTGACAGTTACATGCTCATAAAGATTACCACTCCGTATTAATATGATTTATTTATGTGTTGGTTATTTTACATGTGACTAAGGTGCTGATTAAACTGAATGGTGCAATGCTTTGTTGATCACAGGTTAGGAACAAGATCCTGAAAAAGAGGCTTCATGTCCGCATTGAGCATGTTCAAGCATCCAGGTGTACTGAGGAGTTTAAGCAGAGGGTGAAAGAAAATGATCGGCTCAAGGCTGAAGCAAAGGCTAAAGGTGTGGTTATCAGTACCAAAAGGCAGCCCAAAGGTCCCCAGCCCGGATTTATGGTAGAAGGTGCTACCTTGGAGACTGTGACACCCATTCCTTATGATGTTGTCAATGATCTCAAGGGTGGTTACTAAGTACTTGTATTATTTCTTGGCAAGGTGTTGTTTTTATTTCACTTTTTAAATAGCTTTACTCATCAGAGATTATGTTATGTTCTTCTTGTCACTTGCTTATCATTTTGAAATTTTGTGACCACAATGTAATGTGTGGGAGAACTTGTTTGCCAAGAGTTTTCTTCTATGGTAATTCATGGAACTTGATAATGTTACTACTCACGCTTATGATCTTTTTAATTTTTATTGTGCCTTCATTTTTTGCTAATCTATATAGATAGATTGTGGAATTTAATTTGATTGCTCAAAAAGTCAAAAGCTATAAAGCTTCATCTCTTTCTCCATTTCTTCCTAGTCCATCCATATTTGATATTCCATAGGAGCTCAACCGGGGCATACTTCAAAAAAATTGAAGATGGCGGACTTGAATCCCCATTCTTTGAATCCAACTATAACCAAAGGCGTTTAAATTTTATACCACTAAATAGCAACACCAAAATCTTACGGGAAGCATTTAAGTGGCTATATCAAAATCTTCAAGTTCATTGCTCATATCACAGTATCTTTAATTCAAAAAATGATATGTATAATGACCAACCATAGCTTCAATCATAATAAAACCATTTATTAAGCCATGAACTATTCTACTCCGATGATCCGATCCTTTCTTTCATTGACCCAAGAAAATCTTGTACATGCTTGACTTTGTTATTGAAGTACATATTTTGTTAGCCTGTTATCACCCGCCTAGCCTAGGTCTTATAGGAGGGTAAGTTTTTCTATAGGGAAAGTTCCCGAAATAGGACTAAAACAGTTTGAAAATTTCAAAATAGGACTGCCATGTTTTTTATTCCCAAAATAGGAGTAATTACTGCCAAGTTTGAAAAATATTGCCATGTTTGAAGTGTGGTACTGCCAAAACATGGCAGTAATTAGTCCTATTTAGGAAATAAAAACATGTCAGTCATATTTTGGAATTTCCAAACCTTTTTAGTCCTATTTTGGGTAAATTCTCTTTTCTATATGCCACATATTGCAATACAAAATTTCAAGTTGGGCGTTATTCATTCTCTTCATAACAAAAAAAAAGGCCAACATTTGAACCAAAATATTTTCCTCATAGATAGCGCGACATTAATTGATGAAAAAACTTAAAAACGATTAAATAAACAATATGCTCTGTTAGATTAAAAAAATGTAGCCCCAACACCGTATAGGAATCAAACTACCCTAATTAGTTGTTTTATCATGTACAACTGTACAAGTGTACAACAAGTTAGTGTGGGACTCAGCCACAGCCCACACCCACACGGTTCGATTAGAACAAGCAGGTGTGGTAGAATACATCCAAATGAAATTGGGAATTGGTGGGATGGGTCCTGTGTTACAAGAATATTACAGGACCGGGTGGGTCCACCATGAAAGCAATGATCCTGTATTCAACCTAGACCGGTTGCCTATCAACCCGTTTATCAAGGTAAATGTGCAAAAACTCAAAAACACGTTTTAACTTGGACCTGACCTGGAAGGATCAAATTAAACCTGGCAAACCCAGAAAATGTCCCAAGTTAGACGGCTAAAACTAATATTTCCTGGATGAGAATCAATCTCTGGTCTACAACATGGCACCCGGGAAATGTTCCTCTAGCATTATTATACTCGCTCCGTCCCATTTTAGTTGGTCAAACACTATGTTTCAAGTCAATGGTGTCTAAGTTTAACCGATTGTATATTTAAATACATAAGTATTTATAATAGGAAAACGATATAAAAATATTCTGCCAAAAATGCTATTATAAAAGTATAGATTTATTAAATTTTGCATAAGTATATTAGTTAAAAATAATTGGTCAAAGTTTATCAATCTTTGGCTGGAAAAGTCAAAGATGGCTAACTAATATGGGAAGGAGGTAGTACTATTTATTTCTTCCCTATATAGCTAGCTAACAAATCAAAATGTGATCTTTAATTATTATTTAGCACATAATAAGTAGAACAATTCACGTTATTGGTATCATTATGTAAATAACATTCTATATAAGTGAAAAATAATTATACAAATTCTTACTCAAATTTTGTAATGAGTGTAGGTAAAAAAAAGTGTAGGTGTTTTTATATTTATGTTTGAAAAGATGTATGTGATGCATTTGAATGTTTATAGTAGAGAGAAGATCATGTCAAAACTATGTGTGTTTTGAAATATTATGTGTGTTTTCAATGATTAATAAGTATTAAAATTATTTCATTACTTTGAAGAATAATTACCTTCTATTTAAATGTTATGTAGTATATTATTATTTGTTAAGTTGTATAAAAATTTAGAAACGTTGATCAGTTTTTCCTGGCATTGACTGGGTTCACCCGCCAGGTACAGGTTGACCCGTGACCCGTGAGGCCGTGACTCAGCCGAATCGCTTCTCGGTCTGGTTTTAATAGCATAGGTATGAGTCAATTAGAGCCTTAATCATATTAGAGGCATAAACGTTTGCTTATCGGGTCGTCATTTTAATTTAATACTCTGTATATGAAAAAAGGAAACGTTTGAGCGTATAGTACTATTTAAAGATAAACTAGAGATCGAGCGTAACACTTTTGTTGATGGATCAAAACGGAATCTAATATGTGAAAATAATGAACTCCCACACGTCTTTTACCCGCTCCAATCAGCATCCTCGTAGGCAGGTCCTATATCAACAAAACTGATTAGTAAAATATTCGTAGTATATCAGAATTAAGATCAACAATCAACTGTGCTAAGGATATCAAGTTGCATGCAAGATCTGGAATTAGTAAAACATTTTGGAGCACGATCTATGGACTAAGCTTCACTTGACCTACACTCGTGACATGGTTTATGTCACTAGTTTTCATAAGGTCTCATCAGAAGAATTCACCTTGCAACTTTTCATAAGTTCAAGGAATCCATGCCATTGTTCATTACTAAAGCTTGTGGGCTGTGTGTATCCCCTAGTTTCAATCTCTACCTTGCCATCATATTGGGAATCGATGACTGCATGCACCACTTGTTTTCCTCATCCTCGCTCTGATCTAGTCTGTACGCGTCCGCCACGACCACTTCCGGGATTCTCATACCACCATTCCGGGTACTTCCCAGTTTTCTTGAAACAACTGTTAACTTCATGCCTGCTCCTCTTGCAGTAGGTACTAGGTACATACCACATTGTCATCTCGCCCATGTTAACTTCACGCCGTGGTA